AATTATGATAAGTTTTAGGGGAAAGAAAAAAATCAGTATGTAGAAAAAGCTCACCATTGAATTAAGGGAAGCTGTTTTAAAAATATGTAGATCTAAAAAGCCCCCCTGAGGCAGCATGTACCCATAATCCCAGCACTTGGGAGGCTGAGGCATGGGGATTCCCAAGTGTTCAAGGCCAGCCTGGGCTACACTTTGATACCCTATGTAAAAAGACAGGTGTAAATCTAGATCTGTACATATGGCTCCAGGTCATTAAGAATTATAATACAAAGGTCCTCTTTTGGATTGAAAAAGGTGAATTGCTTGAAGAAAGGAAGGAACAGAAGATACCAAATAAGCAGGGCAATAGAGTCTGAATAAGATTTTATCTTACAAAGGTCTTATAAGAGAGATTCCAGGGAAGGGGTCACTTGGTACCTCTTAAGATTAATGTACTTCACAGGACAGCAACGTATGATCTGACAGGCTGTGATCTATAACCAAATCTTATTCTTGTGTACCCCAAACCCTTAGAATTCCACTCAGTGCATACTAGCAGTCTGAGTGCTGTGCTGTGCTGGCTTCTCTGCAGATGTGAATTTACCCTGATTACCTTGATTTGTCAGTGTATTTAGGCCTTGTAGCATTTAAAATGTAGCAGTGTGCTGATCTCTGATTGGCTATTAGACTACTGTCCCTGATGGTAGAAAGCTCAGCAATTTGAAACCTTGTAAGCACTTACATCCATTTGAAGTAGAAGGTCATTTTATGTGAAGTAGGCATTGTCTCATGTCTGTATTATCTAGTTACTTGGATACTAAAAGATTAAAATATGTAAAGTCTAGCCAAGGTTGGTAAATAGTGTAGCTCATAGGCTGAGAAAGAGCTAAAGACTGAAATAACTTGATTTTCAGGTGGGCTCAGGGAAGCCTGGAATACTCTCCATCTCCCATCTGAGGATTGAAATGAACTGGGAAAGGATGTGTACAACTTTATGAAAATGTTTTGGATCCCAGTATGTTCTTCTCTTCTTCCTTCTTTTTTTCCTTTTGCTTCTGCACTGTAGGAAACTGCAATTAGGAACAGGGGTGATAGGTGCTGAACTTTTAGTAAGACAAAAGACATCTGTTTATGGTTTGGGGTGCTTTGGAGGGTCACACAGTCCTTGGCCCAACTGCCTTTAGACTTTCAATTGAATCACAAAGAAACTTCTATCTTGTTAAGGTCATTTTTTTTCCTATTGCTTGTAGTCAAAATGAATGCTACCTAACCTAGTATTAGTGTGTACTTATTGTTAAATATATAT